GCCACGTACAAAGAGCAAGGAGCGAACGGGGGGGCGTGTGTTTTCCGAGAGCAGGTCTGGACACAGGGTGTCGGTCACAGGAGTGCTGGGCGCAGGAGGGGCTTGGGCTGCGGCGGTTGTCTAGGCAACGGCAGATGAGAGGCGCTGCTCTGTTTGCCCTGCCAGGCCTACTGTTCCCATTTTTCCCTGTACAAATATTGTCTATTCAAGTCAATGTTTTTCTTATTTAAAAAAAAAGAATTCAAAGTGCTCACAGAAAAATCTGGATGAAAGGCTTGCCGGAGGTGAGAGCCGCGCTTCCGGGATTAGCCTGCTGGGTGTGCAGGGTGGGGAACGGGGCAGAGGGAGCGCCTCCGGCAAGGGGTGGCGGTTTGGCCGCAGCTCCTGGCTGGTTGCCCCAGAAGGACTCTGACGCCCGCAGCAGGACCCCAGCAGTTCTAGCGCGGGCGTGTCACAAGCCTGCTGGGCTTGCATAAGAACCTGCTAACTCAATACCAGCAGGCCCCCACGGCTAACTCTAAACTCACCTCCCCTCACCACCTCCCGCCCTGGCCTGAGGGCCTTAGACACAAAGGGGTCCCCTGGAGAGGGGAGCCACCTGTAGCTACTTGGGCACCTAGACCTGAGGGTCTTGGCAAGAAGGCAAGTGACAGGGGCAAGGACACATGAGAGGGGAGGGAAGGCAAGCCGGCTCGAATTCTGACCCCAGCTCCGAATCTTGGGACAAGTCCCTTCCAACCTCAGTCCCCGCATCCGAAGCCACCAGCTAATACCCCGAGCCTGCCCCCAGCACCAAGACAGCGTGTCAGTGAACCCCTACGTCTGCCCCGTGAGAGAAAAATGGATCAGTCCGCGCTTGAGAACCGGAACCAGCTTTTCCACGTTATTTTAGGAGTTGGCTCATGAGATCATGGAGGCTGGTAACTGTGGCTGGGAGGCAAGGTTTGGTCTCTGCACCTGGGGAAGTCCCTCCAGGGAAACTGTTTTCCCTCCGAAGGCCTCCGGCCGGCTGGCAGCAGGGCCCACACATGGGGAAAACTCCTTGGCTGACTGTGGACGTTAGTCACACGCAAAACTCCTGCATGGCGACAGCCAGCGCCTGGCCGAGCCACGGACACCGCGCCCCATCTGTCCCTGGCCTAGCCAAGTTGACACGTAGCAGTTAACTGTTGCAGAAAGTGTAGCTCCCTTTTCATGCACGAGGAAATCGGGGCTCAGAGAGGCTGTGCCCACTGCGCAAGGCGAAGCAGCGCGAAGGCCGGAGCTGGGAGCCACTTGGCAGGGCAGTGAGAGACAGACAGGAAAGCGCGCCGCGCCGCTGCCCGGGGCTGTGGCTGCCGGAACCGCCATTAATGCTGGAAAAGGACGGCCTGGATGTGGGCACTGGAGGAGGAGGCGGGGAAGAGCTGCTCCCACTGCGGGGAGTGAGTTCTGGAGGGCAGGGCAGAACCCCACAGAGCCTAGGGCCCCCTCTTCCTTCCAAGGGGCACCCCAAGGACAGAAAGAAAAGGGTGGAAGGTGGCCTCCACCAGCCTGGCTACAGGGGACAGGGAAGAGCAGTGTCCTCCTGCATGTGGACTCTGGAAGAACTCTTGCCCCCCGAGGCCCTGGCTGGCCGCGCAGAGGCTCCTGAACGTGGGTGACTTCCACTGCGTTGGGCTGGCTGGCCCTCAGTGGGGCGTTTGCCCCGCCTCCCCCGGAGCAGCGGACCACTTCCACCGAGACCTGGAACCCATGACGCAGCGCCAGCCTCCTTTCTGCCGGCTCCTGGCCCTGTCCTTGGTGGTGCGCTAGGACTGGAAGGCAGAGGTCAGGCATGTGCTGTGCTCGCTGGCGGTGTGACCTCGGGCAAGTTACTTAAGCATTCTGAACCCGTGTCCCACACATGGGCTGACCATCATGCTGGCCTGCTGCTCCAGGAGCTGAGGTTACCTACATAACCACAGCACCAGGCCGAACCTCTGAATCGAGCTGTTATTGCTGCACTCACGGCCCGGGCTCTCTCCCCGTCCACACGGCGCCGCCGCATCCCTGAGCCTCGCTCACTCTCCCCCTCCTCTGTTCCTGCTCCCCCTCTGGCAGAAGGGGTGAGGGCAGGCCTTTAAGAGCACCTCCAGGACCAGAGAGAAGTGAAGGCCCTAGCCTAGGCTGACAGTCACTTTGTGGGTATCAGCTGGGACTCTGGGCTGGCCCCAGGCCCAATCCCACAGTGATCATCAGCTGCGCAGGCGGGAGATACTGTCCACCTTCACAACGGGCTGGGTCCCCTCGGGCTTCCTGCAGGGGGTGGCTGCGGGGCTTCCCGCCTGCTGACCCATGTGGAAACTGAGGTGCAGAGGAAAGCACCTCACAGTCCCCCAGCTCCCGGACCCTCAGAGGGGCACTGCTAAAAATAACTCCGGGGGACCAGAGTGGGAGAGGGTGGCATCCCGGGGCAGGGGTTGACATTTTCCTCCTGCCTTGACCGCTCGGCAAGCGCTCGGCGCAGGAGCCCCTGACGGTGCACTGACGCAGACGCAGGGCGGGGCAGGGGGGGTGGAGGCCAAGCCCAGCGTCATCCCAGCATGGGGCCCAGCCTCGCCTGACTTCAGCGGCTTGGCCTTCCCTGCCCGGGGCCAGGGCGATAAGATGAGCACATCTTGCAGCTCTGAGAAGGGAAACAGGGCAGGAGTGAGGAGGACAGAAGGGAGGGAGGGAGGACAGGCTGCGGGGAAAGAAGGAAAAAGAAGGGAGGAGGGAGAGGGGAGAGAGCAGCCTGAGCAAGGCCAGCAGAGGGTCAGGACTCTGCCAGCGCGGGCGCCCGGCTCCGAGAGGCAGAGGCAACAATGGAAGCCTAGGGCGCCGGGCGATCTGCCCGGGTCACAGAGGGGCACGGCCAGGATTACAGCTCATGGCTTCAACCCTCGCCCCTCGTGGTCTCCAAGTGGAAACCACTTTCTCAAAATGGAACCCCAAGATACTCCACCCCGCATTACCAGGAGGGTGGCCGGGCTAAAAACGCAGATTCCTGGGCCGGCATCAAAGGGGTGTGGCCTGCAAGTATGCTCTTTGACCAGCGCCCCGGCGGTGGTCATGAGCCCTGACCCTGGGAAGCTCTCGGGCTCTCCCGCGGCCTCTCTAGGCTGACCTCCTGGCCCCAAGTCCCTGCTGCAGCCCAGCAGCTGGGGCTGACTCACGACTCGCAGGGCCCCGAGGACTGGCCCGGGGCTTTCCCACTCGAGGCTTCACCCACCCACCCCCTTCCCGCAGCTCCGCCCTTCCCGCTGCTGCTCCGAAGCCTTCCTGGCAGTTGACAATCCCCCTCTGCCCCTCCTTCAGTGTCTGTTGGAGTAATAGCCTCCTCCTCAATCTGGAATTATTTACAACATCCTATTTCGTTGCCCTGAGAGTCTGGTTTGTTTCCCAACCTTTCCTTCTATTAAACAGGAAACTCCCGGAGGGCTGGAGACTTGTTGGTTTATACAATAAGCCTCTGGAACCCATGACTTCACCTGATCCTCCCGCCAACCCCAAGTGCCGGGGCTGGGAGAGCCCACAACAAGGGAACCCAGCCTCAGAGGGGCTGGAGCCTGTCCGAGGCCAAGCCAGAGTCAGGCCTGGGTGGGAACCTTGCCACGTCCAGCTCTACTGGCCAGTTCTTTTGGTTCTGCTTTGCCTTGGGTCACACCCACAGCCCCGTGAGGCAGGAAGGACGGGGGTATGACCCCATTGCTCAGACAAGGAAAGTGAGGCCAAGACAGGCAAAGCATGTTCAACATCACCTTTATCCTGTTTCCACTTCTATATGGACTTGGGTCTGACTCCAAGTGCGGACGTTTTCTCCTCACTCCCGTCCGCTGATGGGCACTGCCCAGGGCCCTTCAGCAGGAAGGGGCAGAGTGGGGCCTTGGACTCCCAGGCCGAGGTCTTCATCAGGGCCTCTGGACTGGCCCTAGTGCCTCTCTGGCCCCAGATGCGGTCTCTGAAAGTGAAGACTCGCCTCACCTGCCTCACCATTGGCTGGAGACCCAGAGATAGGAAATGGGAAAAGTACCTGGACACAGCCTGGTCACTGCCACTGAGGCCCGGCTAAGGAAAGGCCAACCTGGATAGCCCTTTCCCTGAGCGTGGACGAGGGCAGCCCTGAGCCTGGCACACGCCCAGACCAACCCAGCCTCCGCTCAGCTGGGAAGGGCGTGGAGCAAGGCGGCCAGGCTGGCATTCCTGAGAGGGGTTTGCCAAGCTCTGCCCTGCAGGTGTGGTCTGGGGGACAGTCAACTTTGGGATGGAGCCTGCGCCACCCAGCCAGTGCCCAGGGTGACCCGCGAGGGACTTTGGACAGCCCACGATGAAAAATTTAAAAAGTAACTAATATGTGTCAAACCCTATGTCAGCCCTGTGCTTCCCCCCTGCGCCCCCCTGAGCCCAGGCGCTCAGAGCTGTGGGGGGTGTGGGTTCCTTCCAGCCCTGCTCCTTCTCTGCATCAGCTTAAGCCCCTTCATCTCGGTCCAGGAAGTGCCACAGCCGGGTCTCCTTCCGCTTCTGCACCTCCTCCTCTTTCTCACCTCTAGGTCCCCACCTCCAGCCCCTTGCACAGCACCCCGGACCCCTCCACTCTAGGGCAAGCCAGCCCCACCTCCTCCAGGAGGCCCTCGGTCGCGACTGGGAAGGGGAGCTGGCTGGGGGATACTGCGGTGAGGACCCCCGTGTTGGCCCGCCCTCCGGCGTCCCAGTCTCCGGACTTCACATCCCTCTAGCCCCCGGCCGGCCCCAGCGGCACGGGTCCTCTGACTCAGCCCTTCGGTGGCCCGCGGCGGGGGACAAGCCTCTGAAGCCTAGAGCAGTGGCTGGAAAAGCAGGAGGGGGTTGTCCGCCCACTGCCCTGCCCCTCCTCTCGCCCGCCCGCGACCCAGGGCCCGCCCGGCCCACCGGTGTCTGCTCTGCGGTCGACTCCCCAACCGCGACGCGGTGCGCCTGCGCAGAGGCCGCCGGAGCCCAGGGCGCATGCGCAGCGGGCCCTTCCTGCTCTATATTAGGGCGGCAGCGGCCGTGGCCGGAGGCGTCTTGTGTGGACAAGGGCAACGTTCGGATACCAGCGTCGGCTTGCGTGCTCGCCGCCACCGCCTCCACGGCCTCCTCAGAGTCACCGGCGCAGGTGAGAGCTCGCACGCCGTGGCTCCGCGTGCCCTACCAGCCCGCGCTGACCCCGCTGCCCCGGGCGCTGGGACCCCATCCCCCACCGCCCCGGTCACCTGCCGCCCTGGGGTCAATGTTCGCCTCCCAGACCTTCGGCCTATTCGACCGCCTCCCGACCTTCCCCTGTAACTAGCCGCTTCAGAATTCCCTTCTCATAGCCCCCACCCGGCTATTCCCGGGCCTTCGATCCCGGTTAACCTCTGACCTCCCCCTGTCCTGGACTGCCGCCTCGCGCCAGGCCCCCGACGGCGCGTCCTTAGGCGCCCTCTGCTCTCAGCGGTGCCCAGCGCCTGGGGAGAGCCAGCCCCAGGGACCCAGGGCCCGGCTGGGTGCCGCCCAGGTCTGGGAGGGTGGAGAATCCGAGAGAGCCCTTCCTGCCTGCGTGGATGACAGCGGCTTCTTCCCTAGCCTCCCTTCTCTCCTTGGGTGTGGGCTGAGTGTCCTATGTGTGCATCTTCCTGGAGAAGCGTCGCACCTCCCAAACCTGTTCCCGACTTGTCCCTCATGTCGCACCCATTGTGTGTTAATCAGTGCCTACCCCACTTGGTAGAGCTGCTTTGCAAGTGCTCTTGTATAGTGGGGACCCGGGTTACTCTGGGGGACCTGGGTTGAGTGTGGCCACCACTCCTTCACTGAGTTTCCCATCAGTGCTGTGCTTAGACATTTGTGAGTGAGGCTGATTGGTATCCCAGAGGACCTCTGCTGTGAACCACGGGTGACCCCTGAACCCAGGGACCTTGTGGTTGTATTTGTGTTATTATTAACAAGCATTGACATCATTCATCTTTCTGCAGGATCAGTGCACCTCCCGGACATGGAAGCTGTTGTTCGCCGCTGCCCATTCTTGTCCCGAGTGCCTCAGGCCTTTCTGCAGAAGGCGGGCAAGTCTCTGTTGATCTACGCCCAGAACTGCCCCAAGATGATGGACGTGGTGACCAAGCCAGCCCCTCGGGCCCTGTCAGCCTCCGCAGTGCACGGCCAGCAGGCCCGGGAAACCCCTCCGGCCAACGGGAGTGAGTGTCCTTGGCAATGGAGCCGGTTCCATGCATTTCCAGGCCCGAAGCAGCTCCGGGCCCCGGGGTGATGGGGGGCGCCACCCAGGGGGGTGGCGCGGGACTAGGCTCAGTTCTTGTGTGGACTGTCTCATGTCGTTGTCACCCTCACCTCTCAAGGTAGGCGCCTGTAGTTTTCCCGTCTTTAAAGGTGAAACGGTGGCCGGCGGCCCACGTTGCCGGTTTCTGGAGTGCTCGGTCAGTGTCCTGTTCACGAAAGTGTAAAGTGGGCATGTTCTGTTCTAGCCAGCGTTCAGAAGGGCTTGCTTGGCCCTTTGGCCTTTTTTTTTTTCTTTTCTTTTTTGCCTCGGGACAGACTGTTTTTAGAGCTGTTTGAGGTTTGTAGCAAAATTGAGAGGAAGCTTTTGGGTTTTAAAGTTGCAATTTTTTTCTTCTGTTTTGCCTTTTAAAATTATTTTTTAATTTTATTTATTTACTTTTAGGGAGAGGGGAAGGGAGGGGGAGAGAGAGATCGATGTGCTAGAGATAGATGAGTTGGTCACCTCTCGCCCGCCCCCATCTGCGGACCTGGCCTGCAACCCAGGCGTGTCCCCTGACTGGGAATCAAACCGGTGACTTCTCGGTTCACAGGCCGGCGCTCAACCCACTGAGCCACACCGGTCAGAGCTAAAATTTTTTGTTGTGTTAAAATGCATGTAACAAAACTTGGCATCTCAATCTTTTTTTGTTTTTCTTTTGAGGTTCTTTTAAAAATTGTTTTTAGTGTTTAAAAAATATTCTGTTAATCATTTTTAAATGTACAGTTCAGTGGCATTAAGTAATTCACATTGTTGCGCAACTGCCCACCACTCATCTCCAGAACTGTTTTCATCTTGCAAAACTGAAACTCTGTCCCCCATTAAACACTGACTCCCCACCCCCTCCCTCAGCCCCTGGCAAACTCCACTCTACTTTGTGTCTCTGTGAACTTGACTACTCTAGGAACCTCAAGTAAGTGGGATCGTACAGAGCTTGCTAAGTACGATCATCTAACACTCGTCTTTATTTTATATACAATTTTTTTGCATTTTGTTTTTAATGAGGAGATCAGAGTTGTATGCAGTTTGGGTCTGGCCCTGCCAGGGGAGGCTGCAGCTTTTCAGGTTCCACCTCATCCTAGAGAAGAATGCTCTTCCTTACAGGCTCTGCAGGGTGTGTTCTCGTGGTGGGGACAGGTGAGGAGGGAACGTCCTCTTCTTTAAGTAGAGAGGATTTCGTCCTTTGTAGGGTTTCTTTTTATCTTGACCTTTGTTCAGGAGTTATTTTTTGACTAAACAGTCAAAACCCTCCTGTACCACTGCGTCCCCAGCCCTGGAGGGGCAGCCGTGTCACAGGGGGCTCGTCTGCTGGACAGGCTACCACGCAGCCAGCACAAACGGCACTCACAGACTGGGCGAGGTCAGGCAGGTCTTTACAGTGAGAAGAGCAGAAGAAACAGCCACCTGCCGAATAAGAAAAACACTTTTTAAACTTGTACATAGGGAAAAAAGATAATAGACCCAAACTTAGGCAAATGTTATGTTTTTTAAAATTGATTTGAGAGAGAGACACACATCGTTCCACTGACTGGTGCTTCATTGGTCGATCCTTGTTTGTGCCCTGACCAGGGATGGAACCCACAACCTTGGCACATTGGGATGATGCTCTAGCCAGCTGAGTACCGGCCAGGGCTTGCGATGGCTATTTTGAATGATAAGACTCTCTCTTTCTCTAGACTTTCTATGTTGAATGTTAGGTATTAATGAATAAAGTGAATGTCATAGCAATTTTTTTATTTTTCTTTATAGGTTTTGTTTAATCCTCACCCCGAGGGTATGCTTTATTGATTTGAGAGAGAGAGAGGATGTCAATTTGTTTTTGCTCTTATTTATGCCTCTCGTATATGCCCCAGTCGGGGATCGAACCCACAACCTTTTGATGTTCGGGACGACACTCCAGCCTGCTGAGCCACAGGCCAGGACAGAGGAATTTAAGTGTCTTTGCGACATATTACCCAAGTTGTAGGAGAGACTGGCCTGTGACTTACAGGAGTACTCCTGAAAGACGAAAGGCTTTTCTAGAAGGAAGGTGAATGAATTTGCCCAGTGGGAGAGCGAAGTCAGTGTAACTAGAAGCCCCGGTGCACGTCAGAGAACCCTGACGCGTAGATGAGGAAGTGTTGCCGGACGACGTGTGCGCCTGTGACGTACTCACAGCTTGTACTCTCTGCGATAGCAGTCCAATGACGTGCCCTTTGCCTAATTTCCTTTGTTAAGAAGAAAACCAATAGTGTATTTGTTAAGAAACAGCAAGTTTTTTGTGAAGAATCTGTGTAGATCCCTGACCAGTGCGGCTCAGTTGGTTAGGCGTCACCGGTTCGATTCCTGGTCAGGGCACGTGCCTGGGTTGCGGGTTCAGTCCCTGGTGGGGGTGCGTGCGGGAGGCAACAGACGGCTGTTTCTCTCCTTCCTTTTCCCCCTCCGTCCCTTCCCCGCTTTCCAAAAATAAACAAATTCTAAAAACACAAAAAAGAACCTGTTCAGACAATATTAGCAGAGAGGACACTGCAGGCGCACTTCCAATGACCCCTGAGAGTGTGTTCTCCTGGAACGAGCTGCGTGCACTCGGGCCAGGCTGTCTGGAACCAGGAAAGGCCGCTGCCTCTAGTGGGTCGGGTGAGAAGTACCGGTGCCAGGCGGCTCGCCGGTGCACCTCATGGGAACATTGTTTCCATTGAGGCAGGGGAGCGACCGGGCTCCTGGCAGGATGGGCTGAAAATAAACGTGCGCCTGGATGGTGGGGCGGAGCAAGTATCAAGTTTGTCCTGGGGCCTCAGAGAGAGAAACAGGTGGTGTTCTGTGTGGCGTGCCGCCACATCCGGTGCTTCAGTTTTCCCATTCCCCTGCAGAGGACACAACTGCCAGAGCTGAGGCTCCGTCGGCCCCGGGTGGATCCGAGCAGGCCCCAGGGGGCACACCGCGGCCCGCCGGACACCCGCCCACAGCCCCGAGCCAGGGCGCCGCCAGCAAATGCCCTTTCCTGGCGGCCCAGATGAGTCAGCGGGGGAGCAGCGTGGTCCGCAAAGCCAGCCTGGAGCTGCAGGAGGACGTGCAGGAGATGCACGCCGTGAGGACAGGTAACAGGGCGCAGGCCCCGGGAGTGGACGGCGTCCTCTTGGCTCTTGTGGACCCCAGATTTATTTACAAGCTATTATTAGGGTAGTATTTATGTGAACACCTTCCTCTTTTAGAGCTGCGAAGGAAGGTCACTGAGACAGTCAGAGGACCACATTGCGCAATGGGGGACTTTCTCGGCTCTGTGTGTGGGATGTGACCTGCTTTTAAAGCAACCACTCGGTTTCTGAGAACACCCTGCAGGCATGAGCCGTCCCATGCCTCTCTATCTTTTCCATCATCCGGTGGGAGTAAAGGCAAAAAACACATTGCCGCATTAAGTGATGGTCTTGGGACTCGCCAGCTGCGTGTCTCATTGACGGTGATTGAGTGGCAGCTGTAACCCCAGTGAGGCTGTCCCCATAGACACCGAGGGTCCCTGAGAAACGTCACCAGCAGAAATGATGCATTTGGCTGGACTTGTTTCCTGTGATGAAAACGGACCGGGGTCGGGGCTGGGCGGGCTGGGCTGGGGTAGGCTCACCAGCCAGCGGGAGAGCCTCGGGCTTCAGCGTCCACCAAAGCCGGTGGAGGCCTCGACTCTGGCTGCACAGTCACTAGAAGGAAGAGTTACACTCAGCTACAGCTGACTGTGGCCCCGGTAGGTGGCCAGCTATTGGTGCCAACGAGCCTGGGTGGTATGGTGAACTCCCAAGAAAACGTCGGTCCCCTTTGCCATGTTACTGTTGTTACAGAGGTTGCCCAGGGCTCGGTGAACCCCAGCATCATTAGCGTGACTGGCGGAGGGGAGCCGAGTGGTTTGCTGAAGAACTTCCAGGACATGATGCTAAAGCAGAGGCCAGAAAGAGTGTCCCACCTACTTCAGGATAACTTGCCAAAATGTAAGTCTCAGTGTCCTTTGCCTGATGTGGAGGAGTTTGGACCTTAAACACGCGTTCGGTTAAACACCAAGTTGTGTGTGGGGTGCGGATTAAGAGACGCGCCCCTTGCCTGATGCAGGTGGGCACCCTTGGCCGCGCTGAGCACGCGTCCTGCCGGCGCCCCGCCCCGCCCCGTGACGCCTGCCCCACCCAGGCGCTGCGGTCAGCTCTCGCCCTGCGCGGTCTCAGGACGAGGACGTGCAGTAACTTGGCCCAGAACCTCCCCATTGCCAAGTGACTGAGCCGGGATGGGCACCCAGGTCTCGCACCAAAGCCCAGACGTGCTTCTTAACCATTAGGTGATACTGTGTTTCCTTGTGTTTTCAGCTGTTTCCACTTTCCAGTATGATCGTTTCTTTGAGAAGAAAATTGATGAGAAAAAAAATGACCATACTTATCGAGTCTTCAAAACTGTGAACCGGAGGGCACACCTCTTCCCCATGGCAGACGACTACTCGGACTCCCTCGTCAGCAAAAAGCAGGTGTCGGTCTGGTGTAGCAATGACTACCTGGGCATGAGCCGCCACCCACGGGTGTGTGGGGCAGTCATGTAAGTGGCCCTCAGCTCTCAGACTCCACCGACGGTAGATACGTGGCAGGACGTAGACGACTGGCCGGGGCTGGCCCTGTTTTGGGAGCGGGTGCCGCGGCCGACAGTGGGCCGTAGCAGAGGGCTGTTCATAGCCGGGACAGATGGCTGCAGGTGACTTTTAAAGAAACCTGATGTGCAAGTAGCTGGTGTAGGAGGTTCATCATGCGCCTGTCTGTGCACCTCGCACCACTCCGCGAGCGAGCGAGCAAGCGGGCCTTTAACACCAGGCAGCCTTGGTTATGGCTGCGGATGGAGAAATACAAGTCGAGCAGCGCGGGGGGGAAGGCCGCTCAGAACAGCACCGGAAAGGGTGGTGGGCCCCCTCCTTCATGCCCTTCGGGAGGCTTGCCGGGGCCCAGGGCACTGGGGACGGCTGCTCGTCAGCCCCTCCAAGGAGGCATGAAGGAGAGGCCGTGCCTGGGGTGTAGTGACAGATCTGTCCTGACGTTGTGTGGCTGGTGGGCAGAGGGCTCAGGCGACTGCCACTCCCGGTGTCCCTCCAGAGACTGATGCTGTGTTAGTGGAGAGCGACGTTTGTCAGAGAAAGGAAACCTTAGCAAGTGAACTCAGCTAATACTAAGTGCTCAACTGACGGTTAAGTGGACACTTGATGGTCCCTGGAGGCATCGTCCGCTATGTTGCCAGCTTCTCCCTTCTCTGAAGGCAAAGTTCGGGCCCCCGACTGCCCGTGAGAGAGCTCCCGGACCAACAGAGGCGTCTGTCTCCCGGAGCCCCAGGGCGGGGGTTCGCGCAGTGTGCGCACCGTGAGGCTTACTTTCCCTCTGCCTTTTTTTTAAGGGACACTTTGAAGCAGCATGGTGCTGGGGCTGGTGGTACTAGAAACATTTCTGGAACCAGTAAATTCCACGTGGACCTGGAGCGGGAGCTGGCCGACCTCCACGGGAAGGACGCAGCCCTCCTGTTCTCCTCGTGCTTCGTGGCCAACGACTCCACCCTCTTCACTCTGGCCCGGATGATGCCAGGTGGGGGCCTGGGCGGGGCCAAGGACCGTGCCCCCTGGGGTCTGTTACCTGTGGTCCGCGGCAGCCCAAAGGCGCTGCGTGGGAAGTGCCAGAGAGAAACAACTCACGGTTTAAATTGCACATTCTGAGTTGTGGGATGAAATCTCGTGAGTCCTGCTCTGTCCCACGTGGGTGTGACTCATCCCTTTGCCCAGCATCTCCACGCTGCAGCCCCCAGTCACTCCGTGGCTGTCTTAGTTATCAGATCACCTGTCAAGGTAGTGCACTGCTTGTGTTTGAGTCACCCTTGTTAGTGATGGCCCCCAAGCACAAGAGTGGGGGTGCAGGCCCCTGAGATATGCCAAAGAGAAACCCTAGGCACCCCCTTTAAGTGCAGAAGCTCAAGTTCTTGACCTGAGGAAAAAGGCCATGTACTGAGATGGCTAAGATCTACAGTAAGAAAGAATCTTCCACCCGTGGAGTTGCATGATTTGTAAATCGGACTTCATCGTAGGTGCATACCCGCGGTGGTTTCAGGCGTCTGCCGGGGGTCTAGGCCCGTGTCCCCTTCGGAGGACGGGGCTAACGAAAGGGGAGTACTGACAACAAAGAAAGCTTACCAGAGACAGGGAAGAGAAGAGGCGTGTCTGGGAGCAGCTGCTCCGGAGGACGTGCATGTTGCCCGCGCATCCTCGGTCCCAGCCGAACGCGACACCAGAGGAGAGCCGTGTCGGAAGGGCCCGTCTTCTGGCTGACGGCTGTCAACATGCTTCTTATTCCACGAGAGCCCTGTGGAAGGCTCCCCTAATCGCTTGCAGTTAGCCTCCGGCCGAGTTGGAGCGAGGCAGCCACACCGAGAGGCGGCGAAGGGCCCGCTGCAGGGCCTCCGCGCCCGTGGCCTCCGTCGGTCTGGGAGCTTGTCCGACAGGGCAAAGGCAGCAGCGTCTGTTGCCCCGGCCTGCCTGGGACGTGACGTAACTCAGGTATGGGGGCAGTAAATGCCATTCTTGTCATTGCAGGCTGTGAGATTTACTCCGATGCCGGGAACCACGCCTCCATGATCCAGGGGATCCGGAACAGCCGCGTGCCAAAGCACGTCTTCCGCCACAACGACGCGGGCCACCTCAGGGAGCTGCTGCAAAGGGCCGACCCCGCCGTCCCCAAGATCGTAGCGTTTGAAACTGTCCATTCCATGGATGGTGAGTCCAAACAGAGGCCAGTCTGAAGCCTGGAATGAAAAACTGGGCTTGAGTTCTTTAAAACTGTGTTTCTTCTGTTTTTGCAATTTCTGTCCGTTCAGCTCTCTGCTAGGATTTTGTAGTTGAGGGATGTTGTATAGATTTGGGTAAATGTAGATTTTCTACCCCCTTGTGGCTCCTACTCAGCTCTGGGACCCTGAGATTGAGAAGCTGGGGAAGTGCATGTAAATGAGACTTAGAACCCCAGTCACCCTGCTCTGGCCTTTACCAGAGTGGAAACTGGTGAGGCGCCCAGCCCTTCAGCGCGGCCGTGTCTCTCCCCAGGGGCGGTGTGCCCGCTGGAAGAGCTCTGTGACGTGGCCCACGAGTTTGGCGCCATCACCTTCGTGGATGAGGTCCATGCAGTAGGGCTCTACGGGGCCCGAGGCGGCGGGATCGGCGATCGGGACGGAGTCATGCCGAAGATGGACATCATTTCCGGAACGCTCGGTACGTGTCCTCTGCACGCGGCGCCAACCCTGCTGTCCAGCGGGTCCGGGGACGCCCGGGTCTGGCAGGGCTGGGTGAGGGTGCAGGAAGCCGGGGCCCCGTTGGGGTGAGCTTTCATTCTCTCCGTGAGGCGGTGGCACAGCCCAGCAGAGCCCTTTGGGACTAGGAGGCTGGGCTCCCGGAATCAGAGCGAGTCTCGCAACCTCCGCAACAGCGGTGCTGTCTCCGCTGTCGGGCTCGTCCCCGATGGTGTCGTGCCTGCCACACGCCATGGCTACAGCCTGCCCGCTGCGCCTCCAATGCCCCTCGTAGGACTGGTCTCAGCGGCCTCCAGGACCCGCAGGTTCTGTGCCCGCCACGTGGGGACCGCGCCCTCACCCAGCCACCGTGTGTCTCCACCGCTCCTCGTCGCCGAGAGGCAGGGTCTCCTGGGGCCGGACTTGGAGCCGTGCTGCCTGCAGGCATGAGCGCTGCCCGCGTCGCTCCCTGGCTCCGGGACCCTGGGCTGGCTGTTGGCCAGTCAGCGCCGCAGGCTCCTCATCCATAGACTAGTGATTACAATAGCAGCTTCCTCCATTTTTGTGGAGAAAGTAAATGAATTGTGTGGAAATAGCTCCTGTTGACATTCTCTTTGTCTATACGACGCTAAAGAGATGGAAATGTAATTCGTACAGATTTGAGGATTTCAAGATAGTAAGGCACTCGGAGGCCCCTGTAGCAGCTGGTGCAGGAAGGGCAGGCCGGGAAGAGCGTCCCTCAGCCCTGGTGCGGAGCGGGCGGACCCGGGCGGGCCGGAGGGCGGGGGCCGCCGACAGGAGCAAGCCCTCGCCAGCACGTCGGGATCCCAGCGGCTGTCTTCTTTAGACACGCTCTCGTGGCGTGGGCCCCGACAAAGGGTGGCCACTGGGAGGGAGAGGGGCTGGGAGAGATTTCCCACTGTAAGAGCTTGTCCCCCCAGCCCTGCGTGGGGCCAGGCAAGCAGGCTAATTACAGAACGTGATGTTATGGTCTCAGAGGACCTGGAGTCCTTGGTCCTGAAACCTGAAACACAGGTTACATAAAGGGGCTTAACGAGGATTGAAGAACGAGGCTGGCCCTGAGTCCACCTGAACAGGTTCTGCGTTTTCATGTGCATCTGGAAAAGCTGATTGTCAAAGTTTTGTGTTTACTTAACCAGGAAATAATACTGGCCCCACCGAAGCAGTTCAGTGGCTTCCTTGGGCTGTAGTCCAACCTCCAGGGCTATGCCACGCACCGCCCCCCAACCCCCGTTCCCAGCGAAGAGGCCCGTTCCAGGCGCATGCGCAGCTGCAAGCTCAGGACCGGGCCTGGGCAGTGGGTGAACCACAGGCGAACCACAGACTGAGTGGGAGAGGCAGCTGCGGGATGTTCAGGCTCCCTGGGACCAGGCCCCACCTTGGTCATGCCTTGCGTGAGACCCCTTCATAAGCTTCCTCAGTTTGTTCCCTTTCAGAGATGGGGGGACGTCCGTCCCTTCAGTCTTAGGGCAGAATAAGGGGACAGAGAGAAGAGGATGTGCCAGGGCTTCTGCGGCACCGCAGGGCTGCCCTGCGCTAAGCCACTGCCTCCTCTGCTCCAGGCAAAGCCTTCGGCTGCGTGGGAGGCTACATCGCCAGCACCAGTGCGCTGGTCGACACCGTGCGGTCCTACGCCGCTGGCTTCATCTTCACCACCTCCCTGCCGCCCATGCTGCTGGCCGGAGCCCTGGAGTCCGTGCGGATCCTCAAGAGCGCCGAGGGGCGGGCGCTGCGCCGCCAGCACCAGCGCAATGTCCAGCTCCTGAGGCAGATGCTCATGGACGCCGGCCTCCCTGTCGTCCACTGCCCCAGTCACATCATTCCAGTCCGGGTAAGAGCCCGCCCTGGGTTGGGGCTGGAGCCGTGGCCCCGCCCCTCTCCGAGGCTGCCTCACTGGGAGCCCAGTGGGCTGGGCAGAGGGTCCCTCTCCGGAGCCTGTGCCTGGCGAACTCTGGAAGCCGGTGCTTGGCCCGCTTTGCAGTGCAGCTTCCTGTTCAGTTCATTTCAAAATAGGTATCATGTGTCCCTGCAAACAGTAACGCTATTGGTGTCACACCTGAATGCGTGTAGTTAATACAGCGCCGTCCCCCGGGATATGCACTTCCCTGGCTTCGGACCAGCTGCGGTCACAGAGCTGCCGCCGTCCCCACGTGAGCCTGGCGGCAGACCCAGCGCCCGCCTCTCGCGGTGTGCGCTCTCCGTCTGCTCCCCGGGCGCGTGCGGCTTGGCCCAAGCTGAGCCTCGCCGCGCAGCTCATCAGCGCCTCCGCTACGCCGCGGACCGTCCTACTCTGACCTGGCCTTCTGTTGTCTTCAAACTCAGGTGGCAGATGCCGCTAAAAACACAGAAATCTGTGACGAACTCATGAGCAGGCATAACATCTACGTGCAAGCCATCAATTACCCGACGGTGCCCCGGGGGGAGGAGCTGCTGCGGATCGCGCCCACCCCCCACCACACCCCCCAGATGATGGGCTACTTCCTCGGTGAGTGCCTGCAGCGCCCCCCCGCCCCGGCCCCCGCAGAGCTGCAGGCCGGTCCTCACGGTGTCCCCGTCACCAGGAATGTTCCCGGGTGCGCCACTCTGAACGCCACTTAGGTGGTGGCTTCACTGCCAGAAGCTGCAGAGTCACGGTGGCAGCTCTGAGGGAGCCTGCTGGTCCACCCAGTGTGCCCAGTGCCCCCTGCCGGTGACTTAGGGCACCAGGGACGGCCGCTGCCCGGGAGGGGGAGGCCTCTGGAGGATGGCCTTGTTCTCCTGTCCCTTCCCTGACACTGCGCGGTCCCTGAGGCAGTGCCCCACCTGGCCAGCCCCGCACCTGGCCCCTTCTGCTAAGAGACGGGGTTTCGTCACACTCCTCAGAGGCCGTGCGATTTAAGACCTGTGAATCGCTCGTTCCTGAAGTTCCCATTTAACACTTTCAGGCCACAGCTGACCGCAGGCAACTGAAACTGTGGGTAAGGGCGGGGGGCTCCTGGGCAGGCAGACACCATCACCACTGTCTGATCCCAGACACCTCGTCACCCCAGGGAGAAACCCCACAGCTGGCAGCAGCCTCTCCCCAGCGCCGGCGATGCCTGGCCCACTTCCTGTCTGGATTTGCTGTGCCCTGTCTCCCGGGCGGGAACCGGGCAGTGTGCGGTCCCGCGCCTGGCTGCCCTCACGGCCGCGCTCTCCAGCGCCGCACGGGCCGCAGCGGGACCCGGGCTTCCTTCCCTCTTAGTGCCAAACAGCCTTCCTCAGCTCCAGTGCCCTGCCTGCGTCCGCTGGCGGTTGGACGTTTGGGTTCCCACTTTGTTTTATTTTTTAAATATTGTATTTATTTTTAGAGAGGGGGAAGGGAAGGAGAAAGAGAGGGAGGAAAACTTCAGTATGTGAGAGATACATCACTCAGTTGCCTCTCTTGTGCCCGCTGCTGGGGAACCTGGCCTGCAACCCAGGCGTGTGCCCTGCCTGGGAGTTGAACCCGCAACTGTTGGGTTTGCAGGCTTACACTCAATCCACTGAGACACACCTTTTTGACTGTTAGGAAAATAATGGTGCCAGGAACATTTGCGTTCAAGTTTTGGGGTGGACATTTTCATTTCTCTTGGATATGTATTCCTTTTAATTGTTTGAAACCTGGCCCCACAGAGAACCTGCTGGCCACGTGGAAGCGCGTGGGGCTGGAGCTGAAGCCGCACTCCTCAGCTGAGTGCAACTTCTGCCGGAGGCCGCTGCACTTCGAGGCGATGAGCGAGAGAGAGAGGGCCTTCTTCTCCGGCATGAGCAAGCTGGTCTCCGCTCAGGCCTGAGCGCTGTGGCCTCAGGGCCTGCCTCTCCCCGCCCTGTTGTACCTACGGAGTCTCCAGAAGCGTCTATGTCGGTTAAATTATATTAAAGTTTAATCTATAGTAAAAGCATAGTCCTGAAAATAAATTGTTTGAGTGACGGGCCCTCCTGTTTCTGGCTGCTGGATGGAAAAGCCCTTGTCTCCTCCATTCGTGGCCAGTACTGCCAAGTGTGTGCAAACGCCCCGGCCCCCGGGCAACAGGCTCATGGCCTGCAGTCGCGGGGCCGCACAGGCTCCGACTGGAGTCCCCGTGGCACCGGCCGGGCTCGCGCTCTGTCCTGTGCCCCACCCCCATCTCCGCCGTCCCCGCAGCGCAGCCGCCCGCTTCCCCTTCCTTCCCAGCTGCTGCCTCAGCCTCCATTCCCAGCGAGAGTAGGGCCCCCAGCCACCTGCGCCCGCCCCGTCCTGGTCACCATGTCCTCTCGGGGACGGCGGAAGGGCGACCGCTCCTCACCTGGCTCCGTCCCCGCCTGCGTCCCGGGCCTACTGCTGCTCACACGCTCCTGCTGCCAGCCCTTCCTCCGTCACGCGTGTCCCCGTGTCCCGCTCGGCCCCGGTGGCCTGCCGCAGGGCTGTTACCTGCCGTAAACGCAGCCAGGCCCGGGCGCCTGTCCTTCGACGGCTGGGTAGGTGGGGACGTGGCATGCATACGCAGCGCAGTTATGCGCAGCCTTAAAAAAGGAAAGACGGCCCTTTGCTACAACGGGGAGCGTGGGACTATCACAGTGAGCGAGGCCAGGCCGGCAGGAAAGGACACGTGCCATGCCCCTCGGGCAGGACGTAAAGCAGCAAAAGAAAACCTAGCCAATGGACGGGTGGTCACCAGAGGGTGGGGGGTGGGCGAGGACAAAGAAGGAGAAGGTGACGAGTCAAACACGGTGACGGAAGGAGGCTAGACCTCAGGTGCTGAGCACAGAACGGAGCCTGCTACACAGTTGTATGTACACCCGAAATTTATATAATGCTACTCACCACTGTTAACACCAACGCATTTGAAAAGGAAAGAAAAGCAAGCTCTCCTTCAGCCCGCTTCTGGCTCCTGCTCTGCCCCTCACTGCGTGTCCCTCCCCACGGGGACCCTGGTCCCTGACCCCTGTGGAAGGGCGGGCACGCTGCCCGTGGCGGTGCTGTCTCCGGCTGCCGGCCCTCCCCGCACCGTTTGCCGGCCCGGCCGCCCTCGGCCCTGAGAGCCCTCTCCCGCGCGCTTCGCCGCCTCGCACCAGTTCCCCGGGGTGTTTCCCGCCCCACAGGCTGTGTTTCCAGCGCAGCTGCACTGGCCGCACAGGTGCAGGGGGTCGGCCGCCCTCCCCCATCTTCCTGCCACCCGCCCAGGCCTCTTGCCTGGAAGTCAGCTGCCAGCCACGCTGGCCAGGCCCCTTCCCGTCACCTCCACAGCGTCACACGCTCACGCTGCCTTCATCCTGGCGTGTCCCCCAGCCTTGACCCCACGCGGCCACCTGGGAGCTTTTAAAAGCACGAACCACCCCACATCCTCCCCCCCTGCAGGAAACGATCCTGGGTTTTCCGCCTGCGCAGATTCGGCGCCAGGTTCCCCTCACAGCTGATGGGGCTCTGCGGCGGGGACCCCGCCCAGCGCCCCAGCCTCACCGCTGCTGCACCCTCACTTCTTCCTCCGCCTCACGTGTTGGCGTGCACCCCCGAACCTCAAAACCCCAGGAGGGCCCTGGCCCTGGGCCTAGGGGGTGCCTGGGTTTTCCTACCCTGGGGCTGCCTCCCTTCACACAGGACGGGGTCCTGGGGAGGCTGTGCCCGAGCGAGCGCCTGGGCTGAGGCCGCCCCTCCTGGGTCCTCACTGTCACTCAACCTCCCACCCTTCCAAGCATGGGTCGCCGCCGCAGTGGCCTCTCCCTGCGGACCACCCACCCTTTTCCTCTTCACTCCTGTGGCCCCAGTGGCCAGCACAGGACCTGGCTCAGTGTCCCGCCCAGGCTTCGCTCATGGGACACCACAGACCCAATGGCGGACATCGGCTGCTCACGGTTCCGCAGGCTGGGGGTCCAAGGCCCAGAGCCGGCCGGCGTGGCTCCCGGCGAGGGCTCTTCCCGGCGCAGAGGCCGCTGCTTCTGGCTACAGACTGAGTTCTCGTGGCCTCTCCTCTTCTCGTAAGGCTGCCAATTAAAGTCCCGCTTCCTGCCCTGACCTAAACCTACCACTGTACCTTCCGAAGGTCTCGCCTCCCCTGCCGTCACGTTGGGGTTAGTGCTTCACCAGGCGGATGTGGGGGGACCCGAACATGCAGCCCATGACCGGACCCATGGTGGCACCTGAGCCTCCTTTACCAGAAGGGACAGGCGAGCTGGAGAGAAACCAAGCAGCTGGCAGACGGAGGCCCTCGGCCCGCCGTCCGCTCTTGGCTCCGGAAGGGCCGCTGCGCTGCGTCCGGCCTGGGCAGAGCTGTGCGGGGGGCCCTGCCCTGGACAGAGCCCCACGGGGACCCGCTCCCATCACAAAGAGCCACACGTCCAGGCAGGCCACGCAGGATGACAGCCACCAGCGCTCCTTCCTGCTCCGGAAGCCGCCTCGGCCCGCTTTCCCAGCTGCTTCCTCGGGCCCCACGCCCACAGCTCCCTCGGCTCCTTTCCTTCCTCGGAGCTTTGTCCTCCAGCTCGGCCGCCTCTCTGACAGCTTAGTGAGACCCGGCTTCCTTCGCACAAGACTCCAAGCCAGTGGGGTCCCGGGACGTTGCTCCTCACCGCCCCCCTCACCGCCCCGGGGGTTCCAGAGGACAACCGAGGGCCTGCAGGAAACGGCGGCCTTTGTGAACGGCTTAGCTTCTAATAAGAGCTCCTATGTGACAAGGTGTGAGGTTGTGGAAGTTTCCCAAGCACGTGTAGAAGCTGAGCACATTACATCAGGTGTCCTGGGGGGAAAGTGTTGTTTCCAGCCTTCACATTTCTTTTCGGGTTTCCCTAAGCCCGAGAAGCGCCCATACCCGGGGAGCCCAGGGCTCGCTGCTCCGCAGCCTCGGCGCCTGCGGGGCCCGGCCCTGCTCCCGCCTCGCGTGCCTCTGAGGCAGCCACGCCCGTCTCTGGTCCCCGCCCGGTGCTCGGGGCGGGAGGCCTGGCTTGGGAGGAGCACACGCGAAGCTGCATCTGCCGCCAGCCTTGTCTGAGCCCCTTCCCCAGTGGTGACGCCCGAGGAGAACCTGCTGCGCTTACCAAACCTCCCCACTTGTCACCACGAATCCTCGTCACAGCCGTGGCCAGCCCCATTTCCAGGTGAGCAAACCCAGCTCCGAATGGGGGTTCACCTGCCCGGGATATGGCAGGTGGCAGTGCACCCAGATCACCCAAGTCCCCTCCCTTCCTGTTCTGCAGGCAACGTTCGTGGATGAGTGTGCCCGGCAGCGTGGAGGGGGAGCTGGGGCCCACCGGGGGCGCCCTTCCTGCCCCGGGTCCCCAGCACCCCCAGCCCAGCTGCCCCCAGGCCCCCGCCTCCTGTAGGACTGGGAGAGGGAGCTCTGGCCCTTCGTGCAGTAGACAAGAGCCCACAGCCCTCCTACTACCACCCTATCTTTATCTCCAGAACGTTCTTCCACAGCCGCCGTCCCCCAGAGAACCGGGACTGTGCGTCTGAGTGGGGGTGGGGTGCGGGAGGGCAGACTCGGCGGTTCAGAGAGGCCGGCAAATTGCATTTCCCACACACAGCACCCTCTTCCTGCTCCTGGTCCTGGATGGGGCTGAAGCTCTCTCAGAGCCACTCAGCAGGGCCCTCCCCGCAGACTCCAGCCTGGGGACAAGACAGTTCTTGTTTCTTTCTTCCCACACTGCCCGGCCCGAGGAAGGGCTCAGGGCCAAGTCGAGCTTTCTGCTTGCCCCTCCAGGACCCAGGCTGGCCCTGTCAGGGCAGGACAGAGCCCGTGCGGAGCGTCGGTCGGTGGCTCAGGGACCCTCCTTCTGTCTTCTTTCAGGCAAGCAGCTGACGGGGGACACCAGCCCACTGCAGAAGCCCCTGCGCCCAAGCCAGAAAGAGGAAGGTGGCCTCCGCTGCTCTCCCAGCTGTGAGGGCAGCGCGCCGTTCCCCCCGAGGGCTGCCCACAGCCAGGCCGCAAGATGAGCAAACCTGAGGCCAGCTCCAGCCTCCAGCCACCACGTGGCCCCTCGCAGCGGAGCTGCCCCAAACAGGCCCCGCCCCCAGCCCCGGCCTGGGCAGGCGTCTCTTGGCAGCGCACAGGGGACCGGGGCGCAGCTGGCCCAGGTCCGGCCCGACCCACGACTTCCCACACTCGTGGAGGACAGACCCTGGACAGGCTGTCTTCAGACACGGGTTGTCGGGGCTCCCAGGGGTGCCCTCAAGTCTAGCACACACATAGCCCTCCTGGCAGCAGGCGGCTGCGTCTCCCAAGCGCAATCAACCATGAGAGGCGAGTCAGGAAAGGGGGCCCCATCTTTGTCATCGCATGGAGCCTCACCTGGGTGTCCCTTTCGTGCCAGAGCAGAGGCCCCGCAGGTGCTCGAGGTGAAGCGGAAAGGGGGGGATTGTGGGCTGACGTTGAAATCTCCCGGGGCTCCCTGGTCCGTGCTGGGGGGATAGCCAGGCCGGCCTCCCTCTCCCCAACCCCGGGCCTCCCGTGGGCGCAGTATGGGCGCGGCCACCAGAGGGCGCAGTCGCCCCACTGAACTCAAGGCAAAACATCGCCAGACACTGAGGGGCCGGGCTGCTGCCGCGCAGAACAGCGCTGGGGGTCGCAAAGGAAGCAGGCCTGCCGGTTCTCTGCGCTGAAAAGTTTTCCAGTCCAGCAGGCGAAGGAGGCAGAGCCTGAGACCAATATGCGACAGAGGGCAGGGCATGCAAGTAGGGGCTGAAGGGGCAGGAGACCCAGCCTGCTCTCTGGGAGGACGGAGACCGTGCTCAGTGACCTTCCGCAGATACCCACCCCCGCCCCACACCCGCGAGAACGCAGCCGCCCTGGGCGGCTTCCCTCCCCTGCAGAACCCAGATCACCTCTAGTTCCGCTTCACTTTAGGAAGCCTGGGGAATTCTCCCTTCTTCCCTCCCACTCGCCCCTCCTGAGCTCAGGCGTAGCCGTGGGGCCTGCCGGTAGCATTTATTGAGTGACTTCTGTATGCGGGGCGTGGGGGGGGGGCGAGCAGCTCCCCACAGAGCGAGGCAGGTGGGGACATCCCAGGTGGAGGGCACAGTTGAGGCTGGACGGGGCTGTGCCGGTTGCCCCCTGAGCTCCTAGGCCGTCGTGGGCCCCCGGCAGAAGTTTTGGTTGTAGAAGTGGCGGTTGTCCCTGGTCAGGGCCATGCCCAGCTGGGCCCAGAAGCTGCCCTGGCCGCTGGGCTGGCGGGGCCAGAGGAGAACGCTCTGGCGGCAGAGGCGCTGCCGCAGGCGCACGTAGCGGGAGCGGTGGGCGCCGGGGCTCAGAATCACCAGCACCACCACGTCCTTCCGGTCCTCCAGCAGGCGCTGCTGGGCGAGCAGGAAGCTGGCACGCAGGAGGCCGCTGACCCGGTCGGTGCGGTCCAGCACGAACAGCGTCTTGCGGCTGCTGTGGACCGAGGCCCACAGGTTCTCGAAGAGCGTCTTGCCCGGGAGCCAGTCCCGCTCCTCCAGGCAGAGGCGCAGTGCCTGGCGCCCGCGGTGCTCCTCCAGCTGCACCCGCAGCTCGTTGTACACCCAGTCGGCCACGGCACTGTGCGACTTGTTGAAGACCACGAAGGCGTCGTAGGCCAGGGCGGCCGCGCCCCGCTGACGCCCCTGCCGGGGCAGACGGGCCAGGCCCAGGTGGAAGCAGTACCAGAGGTCCCAGCCGCACAGGTGCTTCAGCAGGGGGATGGCCAAGGACAGGGCCACCGCCGGCATCAAGAGGCTGAAGCAGCCCCAGGAGAGGGCCTCATCCAGGCACAGGCGCAGGTCCTGTTTAAAGATGCTTTGGCCCCGCAGCTGGCCCGGGCTGCCACACGTGACGTGGCTGGACAGCCCGGGCACGGCCGCCTGCACCTCCAGCAGGAAGTCCATGAAGGTCGCCCCACAGGCACAGTGCAGGGGGTTGTTCCTCACGTCCAGGACTTTCAGGGTGGCCACCCGGGCGCCAAACCACGAGGGATCCACGGTCTTGAGGGCGTTGGTGCTCAGGTTGATCTCGCGCAGTCCCATCGCCACGGCAAAGAAGCCGGCGTCCACAAAGCCGATGCTGTTGCGGCTGACGTCCAGCTTCCGGAGCTTGGTGTGAGCGGGGAGGCTGCCGTTGGTCAGGCCCTTCAGCTGGTTCCCGGCCAGGTCCAGCACTTCCAGGTTGGGCAGGAGGGTCAGGCTGCTCCAGTTGAGGAAGGCCAAGTAGTTGTCACGAAGACACAGCAGCTGCAGGGTCTTGGGGAGGCTGCCCAGGTTGTGCGGCAGGAGGGCGTGCAGGTGATTCTGGGACAGGTCCAGGTGCAGCAGCTGTGTCAGGTCTCGGAAGAAGTGGAGGTAGAGGTCTCCCTCTCTCCACATGAGGTGCAGGGAGTTGCCGCTGAAGTCCAGGGCCCGCAGCGAGGTGCTGCAGAGCTTCGGGGACACGCGGCTGTGGATGGCGTTCTGTGCCAGGCTGAAGTAGCGCAGGTTGGGCAGCTGGGCCAGGAAGCTGAAGTTGTGGCCCATGCCCTGCATGCGGAAGGCCTCGCTGTTGTAGCTGAGGTCCAGGGCCTCCAGCTGGGGCAGCTCGGTGAACGAGCTCCCGTGGTACAAGTCCAGCTTGTTGTAGGACAGGTCCAGCACCCGCAGGCTGGTCAGCGGCACGAACTGGGAGCCGTTGACCGCCTGTGAGATGCTGTTGTGACTCAGACGCAGGCACTGGAGATGTGAGAGTCCAGCAAACATCTCTGGCTGAATCGTCACCAGGTTGTTCCGGGACAGATCCAAGGTGAACGTGAGGCCCTTGCAGCTTGGCATGAAGGTCTCAGAGCTGGGGGCATCCTGGGGGCCTGGGGCGAGGTGCCTGCGTGGCGGCCAGGCCTCCTCCCTGGCACCCGCCTCCACCGCGGAGGCCACCAAGCCGTCCGTCCCGCTGATGCGGTTGTCAGACAGGTCCACTTGGCGCAGGTGTGTGAACTCCTGGAAGAGGCTGAGGTTGGCCTTGCTGATGAAATTCATCTGCAAAGTCAGGTTCTGCAGGGCGGGCAGGTGGACCAGCGGCCCCAGTGTGTGATTGTCGAGCGAGCGGAAGAAGATGCCCGTCATGTCCAGCTGCTGCAAGGAGGTCAGTTTCCGGAAGGAGTCCGCCAGCGGCAGGTGAGCGTAGGATATCTGCTTGTGGTAATTGAAGGACAGGTTGAGTTTGCGCAGCGTCGTCAGGTGCCGGAAGACCGTGGTGGTGGTGATGCACTCAGACAGGAAGTTCTCGCTCACGTCCAGCGTGGAGAGGTTGTTCAGGCCTCTGAACCAGTTGCTGTCCAGGGTGCGGAGAGAACTGTCACTCAGCACCAGGCCCTCCAGGTGTCGCAGGTGGCGGAACGTGTCGGGGTGCAGCTTGAGGGAGCTCCTGGGGCACTCCACACAGGGGTTGAGGGCGTGGTCGCACCGGCGGCAGTTTCCTCCCACGTCGAGCACACGCAGGGCGGTGAGGTTGGCCAGGTCCTCGGGCCCCAGGGTGGTGATGCGGTTGTAGGAGAGCAGCAGGTACCGCAGGCCGCGGGGCAGGCGGCGGGGCACCTCTGTGAGGTTGTCGTACTTGAGCGACAGGTGGGTGAGGCTGCCCAGGCTGAGGAGAGCGCCCGGGGGCACTTGCACGGCCCGGCCGCAGGGGTTCCTGTAGTAGCAGTTACCATCCATGTACAGGTGCGTCAGGGCTCGCAGGGTCCTGAAGCGGCTGGGGTCGAGCACCAGGATGTTGGTGTGGCTCAGGGACAGTTTCCTAAGGGAGTGGGGCAGGGCGGGCACGGTCGTGATGTTGTTGTAGCTCAGGTTCAGATCCTCCAGGGTCGGCACGGCCAGGAAGGTGCCAGGCTCGATGGTCATGTGGCAGGCCCACTGCATGATGCTGAGGCTGCTCGGCGGGCAGTTCCACTTGAGGTCGAGGCTTCTCAGGCTGGACAGGTGGGCGAAGTCAGAGCGGTAGAGGTGGCGGATGCGGTTGCAGCGCAAGGAAAGGTCGGTGATGTTGCCTCGGGGGTCGGAGGGCAAGAAGTGAGGCACAGACTTCAGGTACAGCCACTCACAGTTGACTTTGCTGGGGGCCTCGAGGTCACAAGGCAGGAAGGCGGGCAAGGAGCCCGGGGCCGGGGCCGGGGCCAGGGCCCCGGCCTGAACCAGGAGAAACAGCAACAGCCGGCCGCCAGGGCAGGGACCCTGCGGAGAGGGGGTGTGAGTGTGCAGCCCCAGCTCCCCTCTGCCACTCACCCCACCCCTCGCCCTCCTTCCTCTCCCCTCCCCGGGGAGGTTCCTGCCTCCTGCCAGCCCCCTTCCCATCTGCCCACCTCCATGGGGAACTTGCATGTGGGTCTCAGACCCAGCCTTTGACTTGGAACTGCTTGTGAGACCTGGAAGTCAGGCTCACGGTCCAGAGCTTATACCCGTAGCCAAACCCCAGCTGGACCAGAGAGCCAGGCACTGGTCCCAGGCTCCCCCCCACGTTCCCCCCCTTCCTCAGCCCTCTCTCTTCTCTCCTGAGCAAGGAGCCCTCTCCGCCCTCCCCCAGGCTACTCCCCAACTCCTCCCTCTCTCTTTGGCCAAGACCCAGGTGGGAACAAGGGTCTCCTGCCCAGGTACAGGCTGGGGACCCCCCAGGGCCCCGGTGAGGAGCCCTGGAGCTGCTGTGGGTCAGAAAGGACCGGGCAGAAAGGGGTGGACAGCGCAGGGTCCGACGGAGCCCAGGCCTGGGTGCTCAGCCTCGCCCTGGCCCCTGGCCCACTGCGAGGAGCCCGTGCCTCGGCCTCCTCATCCACGCGCCGGGGCGGCCCCCGCTCAGACACAGGCTTCTGCTGTGATGTCTTCAGGGTTCAGGGAGCGTCCCCAGGGCCAGGTGGGTACCAGCCCTTTCCACTCCTGCCTGCAGCCGCCAAGCCCAGCATTCTTCCCGCCCCTCCCCAGGCGGTTCCCACCCTCGGGGGCCCGAGGGCTGCGGTCCTACCATGACAGCCGTGGGGGCTTCTCCAGAGGGTCTTGCTTGTGCCTGCAAGATCCTGCCCCACTGGGACAGCCCTGGGAGCAGAGGAAGTGAGAATTTCACAACCTGGTAGCCCCCTCCTTGCCCAGGCTGCGGAGGAGGGGCTGCGCAATGAGTCAGAGGTCGTTTGCATAGTTGGAGAGCAGACAAAGGGCCCCTCGACTCCTTCCGCTTTCACTACCTCTCTCCCTCGCACCGCGGCCGGGGCCGCCCCAGCAGTGCCACACGGCCCTCCTGGGCCTCACACCCGTCCTCTGGGAGTTCGGACACACAAAGGCCCAGAGCTCGGGATAAGCTCACTAAAGTCTGGGTTGGGGAAGGTGCCAGCTGCGCGGGCAGGGCCCTCCCTGTCACTCTCGCGCCTCCGGGGTCCTCTGACCGGCCCCACAGGCGGCGCGCTCCCACCCACGGCTCCAGCCACACCTGCCCTTTCCGGCCCAGGCGGCCGCCCCGCGCAGAGGCCTCGGCAGGCAGCCAGGGGTGGGGAGTGCCGGCGCCCGGGCCGCACCTGCCCCGCCGCCGCAGCCTGCCACTTCCCATGGAGCGGGGCCTCCCCGCTGCTCTTCCCACGAGCTGGTGCGCGGCCAGCTGGGACCGCCGGCTCAGCCTCCCCGCCGGCCCTTCCCTGCTCCTCAGCCCCCAGCACTACGGGGGGCGGAGGGGGCACCAAGGCCTCCGCAAGTCCCGGCGGCCTCACTCGCACACCTGCCTTTGCCCACCGTGCTCATGTCTGCCGCCCGGTCTGAGCCGCCTTGTCTCTCGCCAAGACCAGGGCAGCCACCGCATCCCTGCAGCTGGCCTGCCTCTGCTCTCCCGCCCCGGGCGTGGCCTACGCCCATTTGGCCCCTAAGTCACATGAGGCCCCTCCTCTGCACAGACCCCTCCACGGCCCTTCCTGGAGTCTAAGCCACAGGGTCCCCTCGGATGGGCCCTCCCAGGGCCTCCCTGACCAGTCCCCAGCCACACCGGCCCCCAGGTACGGCTTGAACTCGCCCGCAGCCCTCTCCCGCCCCAGGGCCTTTGGAGGTGCAGTTGGAGCTCTTCCCTCAGACACTCCGAGTCACCTCGAGTCGCCTCTGCCGCCTCCGCTCACAGCCGCCCCCTCTGCGCAGCCTTCCCCGGCCTGTGTGCAACCCTCCCACCGGGGCCTGGCTCTCCGGAGTCTTTCCCCGGCTGCTTTTCTTCGTAACTGACGGCTTTTACCGACTAGCACGCCACATCTTTGCCTTTTCATGGTCTGGCATACGCTGCCTTTGTGCCCTGCTGGAGGGTCGGCTCCGAGGGCCAGGGTCTTCCCTGCCTGCTCCCCAGCGCCCAGCACGCTGGCGGCGCTGTGTCGGTTGAGCCCACGGCTCTGTCGCGCTCAGCTCTGGGCAGGCACAGCGGCTCTGAGTGCTGATCAGTGAACGGACAGATAGGGCCTCTGCGGGGAGCGGCAGGGCTAGGCAGCTGAGCGGGTGTCACCGCACACAGGCTCCAAGCCGCCAGGCGTGCAGCGGGCTCCCAGGCCCAGGGAGTCGAATGGCCAGGTGGCAATGGCAGGGGTGTCCCGCCCACGTGGGGGCCAGCGTTTGGGGCCTCCTCCTCTGGGTCCAGCTCTCTCCCTATACCTCCGGGGTCTTCAGCAGGGCCTGAGAAAGGCCTGAAGGCTGGGATGCGGACCTGAGCCCAAGCCCAGGACGTTCTCACAGGAGAAAGGACAGCGCCCGGTCAGCAGCCAAGCCCCCGTCACTGACCCCACACGCCCTCCCCGGCATGTCTCCTGCTGAGGTCCCAACCCCAGGGAGACTCCTCCAGAGCCCCTGGGACCGAAGACACAGGCCCTCCCCGCTCCTCAGCAGCCGCCCGGCCTGCCTTGAGGGCAGGGATGCAGGACCCCGAGAGGGCCATCTGCGCATGCACACGCAGACTGCACACAGCAGATGTCAGATGTCCAGACGCACCATCGTGCCTCTCCCCATGAAGGCTGAGAATCCTGACAGGCAGAGCTGCTCCAGTGTGGCGGGCGTGGCTCAGTGGATTGAGTGCCAGCCTGTGAACCAAAGGGTCGCTGGTTCGATTCCCAGTCAGGGCACTTGCCTGAGTTTCAGGCCAGGTCCCCAGGAGGGGGCGCTCAAGTGACAACCACGCATTGATGTTTCTCTCCCTCTTTCTCCTTCCCTTCCCCTTTCTCTAAAAATAAATAAATAAAATCCTAAAAAGAAAAAAGAAAGAAACGCCCTTCAACAGGACAGAGGCAGAGGGAGACTGACTGCAGAAGAGCAAGTAGACCCCGAATCCGGACGCACACACACTGCCCCCAGCTTTGGAGATGGAGGAAGGGCCCCCAGCCGTCCTGGCAGAGGCGAGAGTCGGGGGCTCTCCCCGAGGCCTGCAGAGGAAGCCCGCTCTGCCACGCCTAGGTTTCAGCACTGGGAGGCTTGTTCTGGGCTTAAAAAAACTGCTAAGAGAACGCATATATGTTGTTTAAAGCCAGTAAGCTTGGGACCTGGAGCCACCATAGGAGACCAACATGCCCGGGCTCCCAGGCCACAGCGGGGGCTGGCCACCCGGCCCCAGGGGGCCTGTCCGAGGCTCTGCCCCACTCACCCGGCAGACTCTCCCTGACCCCTTCTGAGGGGGGTGGGGGAGGTGGGTGCACAGGGCCTCCCAGAGCTCGTGCCAGCGGCGGTCCCTCTGGGCCAGACTCAGGTGTTGATTTAAAAATATTTTATTCTTTAAAAAATACAGCATTCAACCATCTCACCCCGCAGTGACCCCTGCCGCAGCCCCAGCTGAGCCCGCCCTCCGCGGCCAAAGGCTTCTGGGCTGTGCTGGGAACCGAGGCTCAGTTCCCGTGGGAGCCAGGGTCCCCGGTTCCCTGGGCACACAGAGGGGAGGCGGGGAGAGCCGGGGCGGGGGGGTCGCCAACGCCAGCCCAGGGGCCCTCGGAAGCTGCAAGAGTGACCCAGGACCAGCCTTCCTGCCCCATGAGAGGCAGCCCTGCCCCGATACCCAGGCCGGGAAGCCGGGGGCGGCGGGCCGGGGGCGGGCCGCCTCGCAGTCCCACGTCGGGCACGGCTGGGGCCCCGCCGCCTAGCTGTCATCCCCATTCTCGCCGGGGCCCCGGATGAGGCGCTTGTGGCCACGCTTGCCCCCGGGGCCCTTGGGCTTGGCGAAGGCCTGCCGGAAGGCGTGCTGCTTGGGGTGCACCTCGTCGTACAGGAAGTCGGCCGTCAGCTCGGTCCCGTCCCCGATCTCGATCTGCATAAAGCCCGGCAGAGTCAGCCTGTGGGCGTGTGGCCCAGATGCGCACGGCCTTGGTCCCCCCGGCTCCTGGGGCACCCCCGACCCCTCACCCCCCAGCCTGGGGTTTCCTCCCAGAGCCCTGCCTGGAATGCCGCCCCCAGGCCCTGGGCGCCTTGGTCCCCTCTGCCTCCCAGACCCAGGGACCGGAGACCCAGGGCTGGGGCGGGTCCAGGCCAGTCAGCGGGGTGGCCTTGGGCTACGCACGCTGGCCCTGGGGCCTCGGTCTCCCCACCAACCCAACGGGCAGCAGTGCCCCCTGCTCTGCCCGACTCAGGACCCCCATGCTCCACGCCCCACCCTGAGGGCAGGTGGCAGGGCCCTGGGAGGGGAGGGGCGCCCACCTTCTTGGAGATCTCCAGCTGGAAGTCCTGCTCCGCGGAGTCGAGGAGGCGGCTCTTGCAGCTGGAGTAGAGCATGCGCTCGCGGATGCTGCACTTGTACCCCGGCATTGAGTAGATAAACACTGGGGACGGGGGCGGCGGTGAGCGGGCGCCGCCGTGGGAGGCCAGCCCCGCCCCGCCCCGCGCCCCGCCGCGGCTGCTCACCCACAGACTCGAGCAGGTCGCCCTCATGGGTGTGCTTGTAGAGGAAGAAGTGGTAGCGGGCGGCTTCTCGGGGCACCCGCGAGGGCAGCTGGGCCACGTCCGTGGGCTCTGTGTGCACCAGCTCGATTGTCTCCCGCTCCAGGTCTAGCTTCTGCAGGGGGCGGGGACGGGGGCGGGTGAGGGCGCCGGACCGGGGGTGCCCGGCCCGCCCAACAGGAGCTTCCTCTGCCAGGGCGCACTGCAGTGTGGCCACCCGCCAGGGAGGTCCGAGCGCCGGCTCGGCCGCTTTGAGAGCTCTGCTGCAGGAGGCCCCACCGCGGGCTGTGGGCAGGGCAGCCAGAAGGGCCTCGGCCTCAGGGAGGCACTGCCACCCTGCCTGCCTGCCCGAGGACGCGCGTCCTCAGGGGATGTGTCTGAGGAAGGGTGAGCCATTCTGTTCAAGAGCGGGCAGCGCGGAGGCTGGGGCAGAGGGCCCTGCTGGGGACAAGGGTGCAGGAGCTACAGACTGTCCAGGACCAGGGGCTGGGGGCGCAGAGCTGAGGGGTCAGCAGACCCCGGGGTGAGTGCGCACATGCAGCGTGGGAGGCAGAATGAGGGGCAGTGTGCCACAGGTGTCCTTGCACACGAGCAGGGATAGGGCCGGGGAACTGAGTGCCCCCACGACACCCGGCAGCTGCACCCCGAACGGGAACGGGTAGGGACGGGAGGCGGGTGGACAGGTGTTCCCACCGGTACACAGGGGAGCCGCAGCAGATAGGCTGGGGGTGCGTGTGAGCAGGCGGGGGGGGCGGGGTACACCCACCAGCTGGATGTAGTTGATCGTCTTCTGCTTGAGCAGCTGAAGCGCCCGCTGGGCCTCTGGCTGCAGCGGGAAGGCAAGGCCCTGCAGGGTCTGGTGCTTGCTCTCCACACTGATCTCGGTCTTCACCTGGGGCGGGAGCGGCGGGTGAGGCCCTCCCCTGCTCCCAGCAGCCTTCAGCCCACCCAGGGAGCACAGGCCTGATGCCCCCGCGGCCCTGGGCTGGGACTTCCGCCCACCCTGTGTGTGCCCGCACCTCGTTGATGCGGATCTGCTGGAGCTCCCTCTCGGCCGAGGTCAGCGGGGCGGGCGCCGCACAGGAGGACAGGTGCTTCTGGTACCCGGCGAAGGAGAGGTCGTCCTGGCCGGGGGTGCGGAGGCGTGAACGGGCACCGCAGGGTGGGCTGCCAGAAGTGCACTGAGCACCCCGGGCTGCAGCCCTGGGCCCCCCACCCATCCCCGAGCCTGAGCCCACTTGCTCTGTGATTGCTAATCACACGCCGGCCTCCATGGGCCCATTACCTTCACGGTCCCGAAGAGCTCGTCCTTCACGTGGCCGCCCCCAAACTCCTTCTTCACCGTGGCCCGGGTGGCGGCGTACAGCATCTTCAGCCGCACCTGGGGAGCGGGGGCCGGGCTGTGAACCCCGCCCCCCCGCCAGGACTGTCTCCTCAGCAGGCGGGAGCCGCTGGGTGGGGCCCAGCCTTGGCCAGGCGCCCACCAGGGTGCGCAGTGCAGAAGCAAGGAGGCAGTGGGGCGGCTCAGACAGCAGGGGGAGCCCTCGCCTGGCCCAGCTGCAGCCTCCCAGAGCCAGGCTGGCGGCAGCCAGGAGTGCTGCAGGCCGCCCCGCGGCCTTGTCCCTCAGACTCCCTGCAGCAGGACCTGACATCTCCCCACTCGATCCCCCCTTGGTTGCCAAGGGCAAGGGCCTTGTTGTCTCGCTCAGACCAGCTGCCCTTTTCCCCGATCTCAAGACTGGTTGGGGGCCCCAGGACTCACGGGGGAATTGTCAGGCGACCAGGCAAGGAAGAGCCACTCGAAGCCCTGGGCATTCTTCGAGTCCAGGCGGTACAGCAGGTAGCAGGGCTGCTGGGCGTCCAGGAGCGGCAGCACAGCCCGGTCGTAGTCCTGGTCCCAGCTGCCCGCCGGCTCCCGCGACGCCCCCAGCACGAGCTGCTCTGGGGGCGGAGGCCGGGTGAGTGTGGGGGCGGCCAAGGCCCACACCCGCCCCGACAGGCCCTCCGGCCTCCGGCCACGGCTCCAACCTGCTGGCCGCCCACCCTGCCTCCCCCTGGAGCCTCTGGGCCCCGAGGGACACGGCAGTGCCTGAATCAGTGACTGAGAGGAAAAGCAGGCAGCTAGAGGCCGCTGGCTCCACACGTGCACAGAGGCGGCCGCGGGGCTGTGCCCCCAGGGACCCAGCACAGCCAGTCACATGAAGGCACCAGGCGTGTGCCCCCCCCAAAAGCACGGCCCCCTTGCGGACACCTACCCACCGCGCGAGGCTCGGCCCACAGCCCAAGCCACCTCCCGCGCCCCCCGCCCAGGGCTCCCGCAGCACCGCCCGCACAGCCTTCTTGGAACCAACGTGCTCAGGGAGGTGGGTGCACAGCCATGGGCTGCGGGACCTGCAGGGGCAAACGTGTGCCGTAAAAGGGGATGGAGGGGCTCCTACCAAACACCGCACGAACAGGGGCCCTGACACCGCCCACCCGCTGTGGTCCCCTCCCCAAAAAGCAACAAATCAGAAGTAGCCACCGCTTGGGGCCTAGGCCACAGGCTGGCCAGCCGGCTGGCACCCATGGCTGCCGCGGGCCCATCAGCCGCAGCGGGGCGCCAAACAGCAGCCCAGGTGTTCACGGCCCAGGCCGGAGGCAAGATGGGGACAGTCCCCGCCCCCCTGCCCCCGGCCAGGGGCCCTCGCATCCGACCATCAGGCCCTCCTGATGGGGGCGAGAGGCGCCTCTCTGCAGGCTCGGCCTCCTCACCGGCTTGCCCCGCCCCGCCCCATGGGGGTCTGGTGGAAAACCAGCCATCGCAGCCAAGTCAGCCCAATGGCGCCATCAACGTGGCTTAACCTGTTGCCTACATTTTTAAACCGGGAAGTTTCACACAGGAAGTGGAATTCATAGCTTCTCTAGAAGTATCAGGAGGTCGGCCACACTCACTTGGAGGTGGGCAGCGGTCGCCCGTCGGGGGGCCTGCGCCCTCCTGGGCACCCCCAGCTGCGCCAACGTCCACGTGCAGGACCGAGGCAGGTTAGAGCCCACCTAGAGCGCCCGCCCGCTCGACATCCGTAGGGACACCCTGTCTGAGCAGACCCGGCTGCAGGCCTATCAGCGGGCTCCAAGCCCCTCGGGGAGCTTCCTGCAGGGGTCCCTACTGCATGGCTCCAAGGAAGGGCTGGAAGGGGGGGCAGCCACGCCCCATCCTTGAGTCCGGGCCCCTCATCTCCAGGGGGAGGAGTCTTCTACTTGCCCCACAGCCACAGCCTCATCCTTGGCCCCTCCAGCCCTCCTCGCCTAGGCCCTGAGCTAGAGTCCCCCGCCCAGCCCCTCCCCCTGCGTCACCCCAGGTCCTCTGGGGCCAGGCCAAGGCCCAGCCAGGCCTAGAAGCCACCCACCTCCATCTCACAGAGAGCTGGCCCAGAGCCCGTTCTCCCTACTGTGGGGACACTTCCCAAGGGCAGGGCCCCGGCTTCTTAGGACGCCCCCTGGCCAGGGGCCAAGCCGGTCTGGGCCTGCCAGCCACCTGCAGGGGAGAGGTGCTAGCCACCGGCGCCTGGCCCGACTCATTCCCTGCCCCCGGCCCATCCCATCCCTAGTCAGCCCCGGGGGGCGTGGCCAGGGCGGGACCTGGGCCAGGCCCTCCCTGGGATGCACCCTCCCGGCTTCTGTTTCCGTTTCCCGCAGGTGAACGCCCCTCCAGCACTCTCTTACAAGGCCCCTCCCGTCCCGAAGGGGAAACTGAGGCCCTGAGGGGGCCGGAGGCTGATGGCCCCCCGCCCAGCCGCCGTCCTAGCCTGCGGGGGCACTCACCGTCCTCGATGACGACTTTGATGAGCCTGACAGAGCCAGCCCGCGCCTTGGCAAAGAACTCCTTCAGCTCCTCGGTGGCTAGGAGAACAAGGAACATGGTGGGGGTGCGCGGGAGGCGCGAGCAGGGTGGGCAGGGACACGTCCCGGGCCTGCTCCGTCCCGCGGGGCCTGGTGGCGGAGCTGGGAGCTGGGTTAAATGCAGCCCCCCATGTGACCGGGAATCTGAGACGCCGCCACTGAACATAAGCTCCCAAATTTAGCCAGCAGAGGTGGCAGGCGAGTGGCCTGCTGGCTGGGGCAGTTCTGGTGACAGGCCGGTGGGGATGGGACAGCCCCCGCCGAGGAGAAGGGGGCGGGCTCGGCGACCGGCCAGGCCAGGCCAGTCGGAGGAAGGCCCAGCGCTGCGCGGGACTGGGGCCCACTCAGCACCGTCGTGACCACAGGCAGAAACACAGGGACAAATGCCCCCAATGTGCAAGGGCCGCTGTGCCCATCAACACGCGTGTGCACACGCACACATGGCACACGTGCCAACACACAGTGACACACTCAGCCTAGCACGTGTACCACAGTAACATGTGCAGGTGACAGAGAGGCACAGGAATGCAAACACCCTTGTCCACGAGCACACGTTCAGTGGGCCCAATGCAAACGCCGTGCACGCTTGGACACGCACGCACGCACGCCCAGCTCAGTGCCACACGTGCTGGTGCGCACACCGAGGCGCAGGGGCAGGGCTTGGCGAAGACGTGTTTGCAGTCAAAGGACATACAGGACATGCACAGAAACACGGCCTACACGGATACAGCCCAGCCGCGGCCACAGGCTCCCAACCCAGGCAGCTGGGAGGGCTTCCTGGAGGAGGAAGGGCTCTCAGGAACTCCCCCAACCAGACCCTGTTTTGGTCCTCGCGGCCACAGGGCTGGAAGGTGACAGACAATGCCTGAGTACTCAAGTGCAGAGGTGAAGGTCATGGTCAGAGCCAGGGAATCACAGGAAGTCACTGAGCCCCTCTGGTTCAGCCGGAGAAACCAAGGTCTGCGTGAGGAAGGGCCTGATGTGGCCTCTGGGCATACAGGGCCGGCCAGCACGACCTTGAGGGTTCCCAGGGGTCAGGAGGCTTCAGCAGGAACACAGCTGAGGTCAGAGAGTATTAATAGGGCAGCGGCGCAGGGGCAGGGGGGCCGTAGGGAACAAGCTCTAGTCCTGTCCTCAGGCGCCCCTGGGCCTGAGGCCTCCGCCGCTGGGCGGGAGGGGTCCCGGCTGAGCTGCAGGGGCTCAGTGCTCAGAGCGGCAGGGTGTGGGGACACAGCCCCGCTGGGCGGGGGCGGGACTCGCCCCCGCAGGCCCCTGGGGCGCCCCCTTTCCCACCGCTGCGTGTGACCCCCAACCTCACTGAACCGCAGATTCGCCTACAGTGCGGAGCTCCTACTCCCCAAAGGCCGCGGGCCCAGGGTGGGGGGGGTAAATGGGAGAAGGTGCTGGGCAGCGGGGCCGTGGCTGGTCATACACCCACTTTGTTACCGTAATTACCGTGGGGGGCTGTGCTGAGCTGCTTCCCTACCTGCTCAGACCTTCTGGGAGAAAAGGCCCAGCAGCCCTCCCCGAGGGGAGGCTGACGTGCCCCTTCTACTGTTACCAGGGCAGTGACACCCCAGAAGGGGAAGAGGCAACCCTCCAGGCCTCCTCAGCAGCCATCAATAACCCAGAGGCCAGGCCTGGGACACCTGAGCTGCAGTCATCAAAGATTCATGCTCCACCGGTCGGCGGCCCTGCCCGCCCCCCACGCCGTGAGCCTCGGGTTACAGGCCCCTCCCCTGCCCTGCTGCGAGGTCAGCAGGGTCACACCTGCGCCCAGGGCGGGGCTGCACCTGGGAGTCCAGGGCAGACTGTTCTCCCACCTCCCCCTGCTCACAGGGCGCCCAGGATGCCCCAGGCCGGCCGGCCTTGCCTTGGGGAGAGGAGAGAGGTAGGCTCCTGAGCACAGAAGAGGAACCCTAACTTCAAGTCCCCTCGCAGCTGGAGGCAGCATGAATGACCAGACAAAGGGGAAGGAAAGGACAGCGGGGACCGTTTCCTCCTGTGGGGCTGAGTCATTGAACAGGCCCTCCAGCTCCTCTGGAGAGAGGCCGGCCGGCTGGCGGGAGCCTGGCCCGGCCAGGCCCGGGCGCAGCCTGCTCTGGTGCTTGGGGCGGGGCGGGGCCGGGGAAACCCTCTCAGGGCTGCCGAGCCACCGAGCGGCCACAACCACAGCCCAGAGCCAGGCGGTCAGGCAGGTCGATGGTGGCCCCAGGCGCTGTGGGAACGGTGGCTGGTGGCCAAACCACTGGGCTCCCTGGGCGAGCGGGCTGGACGTTCGGCACAGGCCAGCGGAGGGGGACACAGGCTACCGGGGAGCAACAGGACACCGGGTTCCCGGCCACTGCTTCTCTCCCGGCCGCCTAAGGACGATACTGTGGTCCCTGGGGGGAGAGGGCGATGCTCCGGTTGGAGAAGCCTGGGGCTGGAGGGAACCGGCCTGGAGGCTCTAGGGCCGGGACACAGACCCCAGATCCGGATCCTCCTCTGTGTTTCCAGCCTGAGACTGGGACCCTCCAACTGGCTGGGGCAGACTCGGAAGATCAGAGCAGAAAACAGGCAGAGGGGGCGATGTGAGGTCAAGGTCAGCCTGGCCACTCTCCTGCGCTGACCGCCGGGTCCCCGGTTTCCGCAGCCTAGCTTGCGGGGGCGTGTGGCAGTCCTGCGAGCAGCCAAAGGTCCAGGACCCCTCCTCACACTGACACAAACCCATACAAGCCGCCGCAGACACATCGGGTGCATGCACCCATGGAAGCAAATGCACACGGAGGTGCACTGAAATTGTGCACAGACACTCACAGACGTGTGCACGCAGTCACGAAACACTGATGTCTAAAGATGCTTCCATGTCGCTGTGTCCATTCAATCAGCCTGTAGTGCACGTGCACACAGATGAGCACACACGCAGGGCTGTACACACAAGACAAGTGCACATGCGTGCACACTTCCCCCGATGTGCGCATCCGGGTACACCCACCCCCAGAAAGGAACAAAAATCCATAGATGGGCACACACACCAGTACATCCACCCCTAGAAGGGCACACAGCGCACAGAGACTTCCGCCCAGCTGTGTACGTACATGAACACCCACTCCCAACTATGCACAGTAAATCCCCCTCCCCCCCCAAGATGTGCCCACCCCCAGACGACCCGCGCGCGGCTGCAAAACAGAACAAACAGAACAGGAAGCCTCCCCGGGCTGATGCCGGGGAGGAGAGAGGAGCCGAGGGCTGGGAAGGGGGCGCAGCCCCGGGTGGGGACCCTCTGTCCCCTGGCCGCCCACCACCCGCCCTCACCGTGGATGCCCGTCTGATGCGCCATGGCTCCGTGCCCCGCTCCGCCCGCGCCCTCGGAGCCCTCGGCTCGGCCCCGGCCCCGCTAGCTGGCTCGGCCCGGGAGCAGGAGGAGGATGTGGCGGGGGCCGCCCAGCCTCGCGCAGCTTCCCGGGCGGGGTCGCAGGACCCGCCCCCAGCGCGCCCCGCCCCCACGGGTGCGGCCGGGCGGAGGCGGGACTTGGGGCCGCGCGTGCGCGCGCAGGGCGCAGCTTGTTCCGGGTGGGCGTCTAGCGGGGAGCGGGCGGGCGTGTCCCCGCGCCTGCGCGCGCACTGGTGGTGGAGAAGGGGTCCTGCGCGTGTGGGCTTGCAAGCCGGGTGGAATGCGCACATAACCCCATTTGTGGCCGGGAAGGGGATCGCGTGTAGATGGGCGTGCAAGTGTTTGTGCGGCATCCTTTGCCCCGGAGACCTTGACCGAGCGCTTCCTGCGGGGCAGCGGGCACCAGAGAGGCGGCCCCGCCCTGTCGCTGGGAGTCCACACTGACCTCCCTGGCAGGCAACCCGCAGAGTGTGAGGGGCCTCTGGGAAGAAGAGAAATTTGAGTGGAAACCTGGAGGGAGGTCAGCCTGGCCGAGCGGACTCTCCTCCCTCCCCGCCCCCACCCTCACCCTCACCCCCCGCGCCCCGACCCAACCTCGGGGGCGGGGGTGGGGGGAAGCTGCATGTGCAAAGGCCCAGAGGTGGGAGGAGGGCCAGACCTTGGTGAGTCTGGGGAGCTTCCCAGCTGCTAACGACTGGATTCTCACCAGCAGCCTGGCTTTGTCTGACATCAGCTCCTGCCTGCTGCTCCCGGCCAATCAACATAATGTATCTTCCAGGCCACTTGATTGAGTGCTCGATGAGTACAGGACCTTGCTCGGTCCAATCAGAGCCTGTCCCAGGACTTTGGCTGGGAACAGTGGGGAGGAGGCCACCTTTTGGGTTTGCGGTTGCTGATGGAGTGTGGCCGCTCGTGTCAGGCCCTGGCTTGAGCTCCCTGCCCACTTCCCTGCTGCCTCACTCTGATCCGCTTGCAGCAATGAGCTGTCTCCTCTGGGCTCTGGGCTCCCGGGCTCCCCAGGGTCCAGCACACACAGGACGGAAGGGTTGGCGAGGCGTGCTCACCATGTCCACGCCAGCACTCACTGGGGAACGTAAAACCCTTGTGTGTCCCTGCGGCGTGACCTTGGAACAGCTCATAGCCAAGTGCCCTCTCCCCCAACTCTGGGCCCTGCCACAGCCCAGAGCGGGCCAGCAATGCCGAGCCTCTGGCCCCATCGGCTCAGACCTGGCCGCCTCCACAGGTCCTTGGCCATTTCACGGCTCGACCAGTCGGAGACAGAAATCAGCCAAGAGAACAGATTAATGAAAAACAGGAAGGTCACGTTCTCTAGAAACGTCCATCACTGGGTGAACTGTGACTGCCTTAATGACAAGCGCTCCCCTGCCGCCTGGCGGAGAGCTCCCACCTCACCCCCGGTTCCCATTGCTGCCTGACATAGATGTATCAGGTGGCGGTGGCTCTATATCTCTCTCTGCGACTGTGTCCGTTGTCGTCCACCAGGAGTTAGGTTTTTGTCCCTGCTGTGTCCCCAACACCTAGAACAGTGCCTAGCGTCGGTAGGTGTTCAGTAACATTTGCCAAGTAAACCAATGTCTCACGTGCCTGGCTGGGCAGCTCAGCTGGTTAGAGCAGCATCCGGATACACCAACGCTGCAGGTTCGATCCCCAAGCGGGGCATGGACAAGAATCAACCGGTGAATGCATCAGGAATTGGCACAACAAATCGGTATCTCTCTCTCCCTCTCCCTCTTTCTCTCTAAAATCAATTAAAAAACAAAAACAACAAAAACAAAAAAACAGCCTTGACTGGTGTGGCTCAGTTGGTTGGGTGTTCTCCTGCAGACCGAGGGGTCGCCGGTTCAATTCCCGGTTGGGACACAGGCCTGGGTTGTGGGCCAGGTCCCCCGTTGGGGGCGTGCAAAAGGCAGGAGGGAACCGCTCAATGTTTCTCTCCCTCTCTCCCTCCCTTCCCCTTGCTCTAAAAACAAATAAAATCTTAAAAAATAAAAAAAAACAAACGTATGTCTGAATGAACCATTAGAGCCTGTGTGTTGCACACTTACTGCAGGAGGGGCACGTGTATTTAATCCTCAGGATGGCCCTGCGAGGCAGGTGGTATTGTCTCCCTCTTGCAGACACAGCATCGGAGGTTCGGAGAGCTGAAGTGATTTGATCTCGGTCACATGGCAGTGCGTGTTCCCAGCCACCGTAGTTTCCTTTACTTAAGAGGCTGGTACAAAGGAGGAGAAGCCCTGCTGGGCAGCGGCCATTGTTCACTCCGTCCACACCCCACGGCTCTGCGATGGGGGTTTAACCGCAGAAGGGCACCTCCTGGGAGGCGGGCGTTGGCGCCCTGTCCCTCTCAGCTCCAGTGCCTGGGGTGCGGGCCAGGAGCCCCAGGCCAGCAGGGTCCCCAGGCCAGCTCGTCTCTGGCCAAGGTCTCACTTTGGGCACAAAGATGAGAAATCCACACAGCTCCTCGGTGAGGCCTGGGCTGAGCAGAGCGTCTGGGAGGAGATTGGTTGTTCCTTTTTTCCTGATGTTTCTCAACACAAAGTCAACCATTGAAATTACTAGAACTTCTCTTTTTTCAGGTGGGTCAAAGGTGTGTCAAAAATAAGCAAACTATAAAAATAGTGGAGAAAAAGGGAGAAGCTTGTAGAACCTTGGAGTGGAGGGGACCTTCTGAATGTCACCAAACCAGGAAGCGTAAAGGGAAAAATGAGTAAGTTATTCCACGTTTAAAACGAAAAGTCTATGTGGTAAAAATTCACCATCAAAGGCAAAACACAAACTAACTGGCTACAAACAATATACGTGTCATTCACTGTAAAATAAAGAGCTGATTTCCTTTATATTTAAAGTATTCTCATAAATCAGTAAGAAAAAGACAGCAAGTAGGAAACTGGGCAAAGGATACAGACTATCCAAACAGAAGGAAATACAGATAATCTTTCTCAAAACTATGAAAAGTTGGTTCTCCTTTCTTACTAAGATAAACAGAAATCAAACTAGGCCTACAGATTTTTTTACCTATAGGTAAACATTAAGAACTTAGTCACGGGGCGCAGACATGGGCTGCGGGAGAGTGAATGGGTGCCACCTTCATGTAGGACCATCCCTACAAAACGAGGAATGTGTATTCCCCGCCTTTTTAACACTGAAATGCACATAACATAAAATCAGCCCTTGGAAAGTGAGCCCGTCGGGACCTTCACTAGGCTGTGCAACCTCTGCCTCCAGGTAGTTCCAAAGCTTCTCCATCAGCCGCTCATGACACAGCTCCCCGCCCCGCCCCGGCCTTCCGCCGGCGGCACCCGGCAAACACCAGCGCACCGTCTGTCTCCACGAGTTCACCTGCTCTGGGTGTTTCACAGGAAGGAATGGAGGCGCGCATCACGTGGCCTTCTGCGTCCGGCCCCTTTCACTCGGCTCAGCGCCTTGGAGGGTCATCCGCACCGTGGCACACGCGTCCGTGTGTCCTTCCTTTTCACGGCAGGACAGGGTGCCGTTGTGCGTCTCTGCCGCGATTTGTTTATCCATTCCTGCCGGCTGAGGGACACTGGGTCGTGTCCCCCTTTGGGCCACTGGGAATAGTGATGCCTTTGATCCAGCAATTCCCTTACCGGGAACTGATCCTACCAGTGTGCCCACACGAAAAAACGAAAGCAAGACATTGGAAGCCGTTGAAACGCTCATCACGGGCAGGGGCGGGGGCGGGCTACGGGAAGTCTGCACGTCTGCAGAGTTGGCTCCACAGCCTGGACAGAGAAACAAGGCAGGTCTTCGAAGACTAAGACGAAAAGCGGAGTCTCATATGATAATTTCAAGTCAGGCCTCTCAGGAACTTTGTCCTGCCCTTCCGAGAACCGTGGTCGGCCAACGTCAAGGTCGTTGCTTCCATAAGGAAGCGAGTACAGCCTTGTCAGAATTGTTCGTAACATATTCTTTTAGGACTGGTCAGCACAGCCGGCCGAGGGCTTTGAGGTGGTCTGGCACGGCCATTGATGGGCCCAGCGAAGCAGCCTGCTGCCCTGAGACTCTCGTGAGACCTAGGTGGGGGGTCCCCATTCGGGTCAGCGGGCTTTTCCCAACAAATCATTCAGCTCTTTGCGACCCTGGCTTTCTGGACCCCCGCGTCCTGTTAGTACAGACAGTGAACAGTCACATTGTAACCGTCGAAAATTCTAGCAGTGGGAATGGTAACCTGCCCCGCCATTCTTTTGCCCTCGTTTCTGTGAGCGCTGACTCTGCCTAATACGTAGCCTGTAGATGAAGTGTGTTTGCGTAAGACTCCTACGAACTAACTTCAGAAGATACCGACACTGACCTTCAGCCGCCCCAGGTCCGGGAGGTTTGCTGACCTTCCGCGGCGGAGCCGGGACGACGTGAAGCGGGATGACCGACCCCCAACCATCCGCACTTGCCCTGTGGGAAGGGACCGTGCCCCTGTGCACGTGAAGTCTGCAGGCCCTCCCTTGACCTCTGTCTGTCCCCCTCTTCCTCTTTATAAAAGCCTCTGCCGCCCCTGAGGGGGGAGACGGGCTCCGAGACGTGAGCCCCCATCGTCCAGTGGCCGGCATCTGAATAAACCCCCCCTCCTTTCCGTCAGCACCTGCCACTCCAGGGCTGGCTTTCGCCGCCGCGGGCAGCCAGACCTGCGCTCGGTGACAGTCCACTGCCTTTTTCAGGTCCCAGTGGCTCCTGTCTCTCTGGGCTCAGGTCCACTCCCCCCCATCCTCAAAGTGCCTTCTCCTTTCTGCCTCCCTCTTACAAGGACCCTGTGGTTCCATTCAGGGACCACCGGACACTCAGGACACTCTCCCTGTCACATGATCCCTACCGTCATCACCCCTCAGAGTCCATTTTGCCACATAAAGTCGCACTCCCGGGCTCCAGGGGCGGGGGAGCCGCCGCCGCCGCCGCACCCAGCTCATTGGCCTGTGCGGCAGGAGCGAGCGGGCCTGCCGGCTCCCAGGGCCGCTGCTTCCCTCCCCCGGCTCACGCTGTGTCTTTAACCCCAGCCTCCCCCCCCCCCACCACCACCAACACCTGCCCAGTGC